CTTAGATGTACGAGATGCAGATGGTAATACTAAAATTTCACCCAAAGTGTCAGTTTGAGTTTGAGAACGAGTTATTGACGATGACACAGTACTGATAGTTTTAGTGCAACTAGTAGCACTTGTACAAGTAGTAGCTGTACATTCAGATAACGCATCAGAAGATACCGAAACACAGCGATATGGGTGCCTAATTTTAAGCCAGGTGACAAATAAAGGATCATACAGGTCATAGCCTTCTTCAAAACGTTTAGAGAAGAGTTTCTCCTGTTCTTCTGTAAACAGTTCTGTATCATCATCATTTACAGATACACTACTATTTGTATCCATATGAGGTAGAGGTACAGGAGAAATATCAACAGATGGAGTAGGATTAATAGAATGAGTATCGCTTAGTACATGTGCAGAAGAAACATCACATATTTCTGGTGTTGAAGGACTATCAATTGTAGAAGGTGGAATGGTGGGTGGAGCGAATTCAGGAGTCCCATTGCTTTTACTCTCCTCCTTAAACACTTTAGAAGGACCTAATCTGTCGTTTACAACACTTGGGTTGAATGGAAACAGTCCAGACTTACGAAAACCACTCATTATATTAAGATGTGTCACAGAGACTGGCCACACTTCAGAAACTAGAGAGGACAATAGATCGGGAGTAATAACACGACCAGGATTTTTACTAACGTAATTAGTGCAAGCTTTAGAAAAGTTGGATTTAAACGACTTAAAAACACCAATATCTAAAGGTTGTAAGATGTGTGTCGTGTGTGAAGGAAGGCAGAGAATGTAGATTTGATTGCTCTTAGCATATTCAATTGCCTCTATGGACATGTGAGAAGAATGGCCATCTTGCACAAGAAGAACCGGCCTGGCAGGAGGAATATTATTGGAAAAAAACTTAAGCCATTCGAAATACAACTCTGAGTTTATCCAGCCATTTGTGCTGGTAACAAATAAGGTGTTTGGAACAGCTCCAGCTTTATAATTATCAGGTAGTCCCCTTTTTCGAGGGTAGATTATCATGGGTGGTAAAACGAATGCCGACGCTGACACACAAGCCATAATAGTGTGGTTTTTACCTCTCTCTCCTGATACGACAGAATAAACATGATTTCGACCCAGTTCCGCCACTACTTTTCCTGGTTTATGTACAACTGAAATGCCCATTTCATCGGCATTATATATCATCATTGGTTTAGACAATAAGTTAAGACGTCCATATAGAGCACCCAATTTACCGAAAAAATCACTGATTATTTCTGGGCTTCCTGCAAATGCTCTGGCTTGAGATAATGGTTGAGGACTACGAAGAGTAAGACGAGGGTAACGCCTTCTAAACCCGTCAAACCACGCTCGGCCCGCTGATTCTCCTTTAAATGGATGAGATTTCTCTGTCTTTTCAGCAATTGTAAAGGCTAACTTCATTATGGTCTCTCTATTTAAACCATAGCCCATATCAGCCATTTCTAAGAGGTATTGGTATAAACGGTCTTCTTCTTCTTTCATTAGAACAGTGGGTGGGCCTGGACGACAATCGATAGCAACAATATCATGGACTCTTCTTCTCAATGATTCAACTGGCAAGTTGTACATCCTTGCTGCCTCTCTCAATCCATTCGTTCCTTCTCTGACACTGGCAACAGCTATTTCCATAGATTGGGTGGACCATTGTTTTCTTTTACATGCCATGACTGAGTGTTGTAGATCTACTAATAAACGTTAAATTAAAGTGATAATTTCAACCAATAATACTTACAATCTCTAATGAGGAAAACCTGACAGCTGATGGTAAGTGAAAAATAGACTCGGAAACACAGTGCTTTCCCGCACCAAAGTATATAATCGCAAGGTTAAATTAGAGTGATAATAGAGCCTGTCGAAGACTGAGTGAGAAGTAGTCTGGCTACACAAGACTAGAGAAGAGCTGACAACTGAGAGAGACGAGGAGAGAAACACGTGTCAACTTCTAGCCTTGATGACGTCACAATGGCGGTGGATGTCCGTAAACTTACCTTGGCTTTTGCATGTTTTTGTCAGTTTTTGTGATTTTTTTGCAAATCAAACATCACAACACAGCAGTACAAAGGTTAGTTAGTTTGTGTAATCATTTTAAAGTCAAAATATAATAATGTCCCATAATAGGTGCTGTCTCGTTTTACCTACATATACTCTATTGGACAAATTTTAGTGATTATCGATATTTTTCGATACGATATTGACCACACCCAGTAATAGTTAATAAACTACAATAATAGTTAACAAACTATGATAAAAAGTGATTACTCATACTATCATTAGTTTTTTGTTCAAAAATGGCCTCATATCTTCATATTTTGGCTTGATCCAGGTTCTTCTGACAGACAGCAACCATCCTGCCTTCGTATAGCTGCTTACAAGGTTGTTTTAAAATTAAATTGACCTAATTAACCACTGTTTATATAACTATTATTCTGGTTATGTGGGTGTGGTTATCATATCAAAATCTGAGCTTCAAAATTTCGATAACGATATTTATCGATATTGCCGATTATCGATAAAAATATCGGTTGATTCGATATATCGCCCATCACTAATTTCCGGACACTTGTCAGGCAAAATTCAAAAATTGAAAAAACCTAAAGCAAAGAGCACAAAATTTAAATGATTATTAAGCAAAGAAACCAAATCTAATAATAGAAATAGTTCACCAAATCACACTAAAACTATACTAAATGCTTTCATTCAATTCTTTTATAATGTCAGACATTGTTGGACGATCTTTGTAGTTCTCTATCAGACAACGTTCAATGAGATTCTTCAATGTCGGCCTCTTGATAGCTTTAATCTGAGCTACTCTCTTCCCTACGTCTGGAAACTCACAAACGACCATCTCTATAAGGAGGACACCATAACTGAAGACATCCATTGCAGGAGAATGTTGATTTGGATTGAACGATTCTGGAGCTGAATAGACAGGATTACCAGGATTGCTTGTTTTAGCAAGAGGTTGGAGACTAACTGTACCATAATCTGATACTTTAGCCCTCCATCCTCCTATCATTGGT